AGGTAATCTGTTTTTGCAGATGTCTTTGTACCTCAATTTTGACCTTCCCCTTGGTCCCTTTCCCTGGGCAAGTTGTCCATAGAGAAATTGCTTCGGAATCCGGTTGTCGTCCATTCTCTTGACATGGCCCAGCCATCTCAATCTTCTTAAACACAGGATTATTTGTAGGGTTGATTCATTATGAGCGACAACAGCAGCATCACCGGCAAAGAAAAGGTCTCGTATTCTTGTTTGGTTTGTTGATTTTGGTCTTGGCTCGAAGTTGAGCAAGATTGAAAAGCGACCCATCAGTTCTCCAGTGGGAGAAACTGAAATGCTTCTAACTCTAAAAACATGGTTTAACTTGGTTGGAAGACTCTAATATGATTTTTTTAAAGCTCAAGTAAACCCCATATAATGCTTCTCCACTTAATGTATGGCCTAATTAAATAACACATTTTACATAGAAAGTCATCAAGATGAGGTATGCCATAGCAGCATCCAGTGTCAACAGGAATGAATTATCCTCTTGTCCAAACACCATTAAGACGCTTTAAAATGCTCTACCCAATGAAGCTAAAGCTCTGGTTAGCTAAAAAATAAACTACATAAACCAAAACACAATACACTGCATATCAAATTAGACTTAACCGTGGGTTTTAACTTGCGCACTGGTGACGTACTCAGTTCTAGATTGTCATAGAACTTGTGGTAGTCAGATGGCACAACAGACTTCATTTCTTGCATGTGTTATTAAAGTTCTCTATGGACGAATTAAACTTTCTACCCTGGTACAGAGGCAGTCCCTTCATGTCTTTATGGAGAATGTCTGTGGGCTCGCCGCGCTTCAAAGGCAGATGTGACCAGTCATCATCAAATCCCAGTTTGTATTTAATTTGACCATCTGGTGTGAAAACTCTGGTTGGTTAGTTTGATGAAATCAGAAAAGATACAATGAGTCAAATACTTGACTACATATGGCTTCACTTTCCTACTTTCTTCCATTAGCCTGACATAATCAGCTGGGTAGTAGATGTGCTGTGAACACTGTCCAACTCCATCTGTGTATAGCCCTTCTCTAGGAATGTTAATGTTACAGTTTTACCTTTGACAGAGCTGAAATGTAACAGTGCAGAACTCATTGTGACTTTGCAGTTCTGATACAACCACATCCATCTGAATATAATGATTTGGAGTCAAATCAGATGACAAAAAATCAACCACACAAGGAGCAAATTTATTTGCAGTCAGAGCACCTTCGAATTCATTTGAGACATAACATACACATACCCCCCCCCCCCACACACACACACTCATACTTTTCTTTATACAAACGGCGGTACACTGCCTGTAAGCTCTGGAAAACAGGTTCCAAGTATAACTTACTGGAGTCCCTCGGCAATAGTGAGATGGCAACTTGGGCTGATCACGAAGAAACTGTTTAAGTACCTTTGATGCTGTAGTCTCCTCCCTAACCCTTTTTCTCTGAACTGGAACCTCACCCTCTGCTACATCCAACCCACATGTGAGAACAATGTGAACACACTAGTAACAAAGTACAGGACTTAAGAAGAAAGCCGTGCACACTTTTACTCTGGCCCCATTCACTCGCAGATGGTACTTCATGGACCACGATCTTCTGCTTTCTCTTTCCTTTTTCTCCACAGGCTCGACACAGTCGACCAACCCTTTAACAAAAGCAGCCTTTTCTGATTTTACATTTTATTTATAATCAAACGCCTCCTTCAGAGCAAAACGTTATCGCCGTGATCCACAATGGCGGGCAACCTAAACGAATTAGACGGTTAGAATTCTTCAGTCACGGAAGCCAGTCGGAATATACGGTTAGAATTTCTCTTTAAAACAAGACTTTTGTTTGTCAAAATTGTTCTAGATTTTAATAGGACGTAGCCATTCGTTATGTCGATCTATTTTAAGGAAAAAAGCAATTCGAGAAAATTTCGAGTTAGACGGTTAGAATTCTCTGCCGACGATATGCCCTTTAGCATGGTAATTTTGCTGCACAGAAGCTACACTTCGGAGTTACTATTTGTGAGGTAAGGCTTAATGCTGTGTGCTGTTGAGTAAAAGTGTGTGTGCAGCCATTGCAGAGCTATCCAAAAGGTCTGGCGAGTACGATTTAAGAAAGTAGGGGTTCAATTCTGCCTTGAAGGGCGTTGATCAACGCATTACAGATAGGTAAGTTCTTGAAACCTTAGAAATTGTGAATCACAAATATTACAACTGTGGACTATATAATATATGTATATGTTAATGATCTTGATTTATATAACAGCTGTTGCTCTTACTCATAGAGTTACTACGTATCCATTCGTATCTTGCATGGAAAGAAAGCACATTCATATTACACCCTTATACAATTAGGCTCTATTAAATTTTGAATATAATTATCTGTCATTTTATCCCAAATGTCACAGACAGTTGCAAACAAAGGGTCTGAATAGGGAACAAAGTCTACGATTTTCTTCAGCTGCTGTTTCATAGGACTTCACATACCTGTAGAATTCATATCGGGGTTATTTACTGGTGATCACTCCAATATTGATATGATATGGCTTTCCAAGAATTGTCTAGTAGCATTGGCCCTTTGAGAAAGTGCATTGCCATGCATGGAGATGTCTACTTGAATGACACAGTGGCGAAAATCAGGGTAAGACATGACGTTTCAACACTTGCTCGATGTAGTCCACTAAACCAAGCCATCAAGTGATTCTCACGTGGGCGGTTTTGTTCATTCCATCCCAGACCGCCTTAAACCATGGCAGTTTCGTGTCCTCTGTTCCTCACTAACAGATGATTAATCCAAAATCTAACTAACACAGGCCATGTGCAAAAAAGGTTTCGTGCTCTACTCGAAGCCGATAGCTCCTAAACAAAAACAAAATCATACTACAATGTAATGAGTCCATGTAATGTTAAGTCCAGGTTTGGCGTGGTATTTGTGACTGACTAATCAGTTTTCTAATCTGTTTGAAAATATCCCCAAAAAATACTGTTCATTGTAGAGACAAGAATATTCTCTTTTCATTTGATATTCAATACGTGTCCATTCCACCAATGTTGATGCGCCTCAATACACACGAGAACATACTTTCCGTTTCTTTGATTTCGCACAATTTTGCCAGGCCTGACTTTTTACGGTAAGTTTTTAAGTGACCATATCTCGGGCGTCTCTTAACATAGATGAATTATTAATGTGTCAGATGATGCAGAATGTATTTAGCTTTAAATTGGTGTGCTGGATGAGTGGGTAGTGCAAGACTTTAACCCTATAATCGGGTGATTAAATTTTCAAGTTTCTTTTGGACGCCACTGTATATGGTGTGGGGTTAGCCTAGGTGCATCGTCGTCGCAATCAGAAGACGTAAGTTCGACTTTCGTAGGGTAGGGAGGTTTGCCAGTTGGTCCGTTGTGTCCCTCTCAGCCCAGGTTGGTCCTGACAGGGCGGGAGTAGCCCTCCTCTCATATGAGCTAGATTTCGTGAATAAGGGCGTAAAACATCAACTATTGCATATTTTACTGTTGTTAGCATCCTGAAGGAAAAAAATATATTCTGTTTCGTAAAATAAAAAAATCAATAAACAATAATTGATTCCTGCCATGCTTTTATTTGTATTTATTGCCCTTAATTATCTCTTCAACACCAGGAATTGCAGTGCAGCTATGTCAAAGTAGTTGACCTTCATCCTCAAGACAATTCAAAGTGATATCCACCATGCAAAGCCAACTCAGAATATCTTTTGTGTTTGTGGCCCTAAAAGCCTTGAGGGCACAACCCACATCACGGTGCTTCCAGATTGGACTGTCTGGTCGTGGATGTGCACACAGCCTGTCTTTTAATAAGGGTCTTCAATATAGTGATGTTGCTCATCCTAGAAAGGCTAGCATGGCTCTTCAAGAGATGGAGCCTGTGGATTCAAACTCGGAACCCATTCGATCCGTCTCTAAACCATTTTCCTCTATGCCGACGCCTAAAGGCTTGCCCTACCTGGGTTCTGCTCTAGAGATTGCTAAAAATGTTGGTAAGTTCTTGGATTGTTGGGGTTCTTTTGGCTGCATTTATACCGGTTGTTTTGTTGAGTAACTGGAAGCCTGTCTTTTAAAAGCACTTGAGTGTCTTGAGCAAAAGGAGGCTAGCTTATGAAGTCTTAAAGGAACAGAAAGTGCACTTTAAAATGTTAACTCACAATCTTACCTAAGAATACCGGTATCAGATTTTGAAATATATTTCCCATTCATGAATTTTCAACAAACTGAAGGGTTTATACGACATGGCATATTCATTTCGGTTCTTATCAACATTTTCTTCGCCCCGAAAAGTAAAGTATGTTTCTTGCCCTAGTGAAAAACATCCGGGTACACCATTAGTTCCCTGTAGGGTTGTAGCCATGCCTTACTGCAACAGGAAATAACGGGCTGAAAACGTCGTGATGTGCGAAAACACGGGGGTTATACTTTACTTTGAACGTACTTCCGAACAAATCTTGAGCTTCAAATGATCGCTCTACCACATTGTGTTTTCAAATATGACTGTAGCCATTTTAGTGCACATGCGACTTTTTAAATGACGAATTAGGCCATTCTAAATATAACACTCGGAGAAAATATTGGCATCTCATCGTCATCTGTAGGACTCTTGGCCAACACCAGTGGAGCTGTATTAATCCTAACTAAAATGGTATGTATAGTAATAGTAACCCCCCCCCCCCCCCCCCACCCTTTCCTTAAAATCTTTCTTTTTTTAGTTTAAAAAAGAAACTATGCACATTTCTCTTGTTAACGTCTTCCCTTTCGCAGCATTTCTGAAATCTTAATCATGGACATTTAAAAAACAAACAAACCACAGCCGGGAACTAAATCACAAAACTTAATCTTTTTACCAGTCTGTAGACATTAAACACAATGTTCCTCTCGTTGCTCCTTTCACAGGAAAGCTGCACCACTTCCACCTGCAGAGAGTTAAGGATTACGGCCCTGTATGGCGAGAAAAAGCTGGAGCAATGGACTTCGTGCATGTGGCCTGCGCTGAGGGAGTAGAGGATATCATTAGGTCTGAATTAGAATTATCTTTATGTCTTGTTCACCAGTGTCTGTGTTGTAGTGGTTAGGCGCTTCGCCTTTGCCCGCAGAAGACTCGAGTTTGATTCCCAGGTGGGATACGTTTTTATCTAGTATCTCAATCCTTCTGGAGAGATGCTGCATCCCTGTCAGCTCAGATTAGCCCGCTTCTTAAATGATCGAAATTATGTCGGGGGGGGGGGGGGTGGTAAAACACCTACATGTATATTTAAAAGAAGAATTAATATATTGTTCTTTTTATCGTCGTTGTTGCAGTTTTTGCCGTGTTTACTTCTGACAATGCCAGTCTCCACCGCGCTCCCCCCCCCGAAAAAAAACAATACAAGAACATTAATGTTTTTATCTCAGACCAGCCCTCACATCTAGAATTAAAGAACATTGTTCTTTCAAGTATTCTTATAAATTTCCGAAATATGTTCAGTGGTGACCTTTATTGCAGTATTCAGGTCTAATCAATGGCAAACCTGAAACAAAATAACCGTTAGCGCAACCATTAAAGATGTTCCACAATGTTAATGGCTGTTAACAGGAATGCAATATAAAAATATTACTATCATTGCACTGCACAATAATTTCAATGTTTAACATCCATTTCAGATGTGAAGGAGCTACTCCATTTCGAATGCCGGTCGTTCTTCATACAGATTACTACAGAGCCAACTCCAGACCCGAGGGTATCCTTACATCGTATGTGTGTGTGTGTGTGTGTGTGTGTGTGTGTGTGTGTGTGTGTGTGTGTGTGTGTGTGTGTGTATTTGTGTGTGTGTTTGTTTGTTTTGTTTTTGGCTGTTGTTTTTTGTTTGAACATTCTGGGTTTCTAAGAAGAATTTGTATGGATACCTACGTTGTGGAGGACCTTCGAGTCCCCTTTTTTGCTTTACTAAATTGTTGTCTCCTTTATGTGAACTAGCATCGTCAGTAAAGTCAGCTTATTCCAGCACTTTTAGCTGTAATATGATATATTGATAATGATATTGATAATGATAACTATAATGATGTTAATGATAATAATGATAATATTGATGATGATAATAACAGTAATAATAACAATAACGATGATGATGATGATGATGGTGGTGATGATGATGATGATTTTTTTTCGTTTCCTTAATGGGTCTGACGGACTTCACGAAGAAATCTTCGAGCGAGAGCGAGGCTCTTTTTCGGCTCCATTGTCAACAAGCTTAACGGCACCTCCACTCGTCCAAATAATGATGATGATGATGATCATCATCATCATCATCATCATCATCATTTTTTATATTATTATCATTATTATTGTCATTATAATAATTGGTAATAATAATAAAGACGATAGCGATCATAATAACAAGACAGTTATAATAATAGTAACAATAATGGCTATAATATAAGCAGCAGTAGCAGCAGTAGTAGAAATATTTGCGATTGAAGGAGGTGGCATCGCCTGGTGTCATAGGTAAAATTCGCTAGAAAATGGCAGCTAATGTTTCGTGATTCCCAATGCTGGAGTGGACTTGAAACCTGCAAATTTACATATTTTGTGCTTTTGATTAGCTTCTTTCCGTAAAATTCAAATAAGAATGTATTGTTAAATTGACGTAAACGGCGTTTGACCGAAAACGACAAAAATTGCCTTACGAGCTTGACAATCTTCAACTGTTGGTTTCTTCGATTTCATTATTTTGACGAGCGCCTGTTTTCACCACGGTGCGATACAGTTATTATAAAAAGAAATCGGATTGGGAAATAACATGTTCAATATTTGTCTCTAAATAGCAATGGTCAACAGTGGCGTCGCATGCGGAGTGCCCTCGAAAAACCCATCCTGAAGCCCAGTTTACTAAGTAACCACGTGCCCACTATGCACACTGTGTCTTCGGACTTTGTGAAGAAATTGGACACTCTACGAAATGACCATGGTTATATTACTGACGTACTATCAGAGCTCTTCAAGTGGTCGCTTGAAGGTAAGATTCCAGAATTGTACAGCCCAATAGATTATGCTGGGAAAGATGACAGAGTGGGATTTTTTTATGTCTACATGTGTGAGGAATGTTATGGTCATCGAGAAAAAGACAGAATCGACAGCTCAGTTTGTATTGTCTGGTGATAAGCTACGGTGCAGTTACCTCTAATTAGAATCATGAAGAGATGTTATAAAAAGGCTTGTTTTGAGAAGTTTGAAGGCTGTGTATACACTTTGGCTCTGTGGTATTGAAGATGGACATGACATATAATTTGGCGGTCGATATTAAATAGCATTGCATTGTTTGTACAGTTGATAAAGCCGTTCACTGCCGTCTTGAGTTCCTCACCCAAGCTCCTTTCTTTAGACTAAAAGAACAAACAGTGCCTATTGATTGTCGCATTTTGTGCATAGATTTATGTAAATATTTTTTCTTAACATTCACAGCAATGTATCCATCAATAAACTGCTCTCCAGATTAGTAGATAGATTTATGGATGGAAGATTGGATAAATGAGTGGGTAGATTGGTAGGTGAATTGGCGGTTGGACAGGTCAGACGGTTGATAGGTAGGTAGGTAGGTAGGTCGATATAATTTTTATATATATATATATATATATATATATATATATATATATATATATATATATATATATATATATATATATATATATATATATATATATATATATATATATAGAGAGAGAGAGAGAGAGAGAGAGAGAGAGAGAGAGAGAGAGAGAGAGAGAGAGAGAGAGAGACTTTACTTTTTCCTTCTGTTTCGCACAGACAGGCAGACATATGGCATAACACACAGACAACCAGTCACACAAACAGACAGTTAGGTAAATAGATAGACTGGCAGACTATAATCTATCCTTTTTGTTTGCAGCTGCCAGCGTGGTTCTTTACAACAGGAGATTAGGCTGCTTTTCTCTCGAGCCCTTGCCAGGTATTAAGGACTTCATTCAAGCAACAGCGATTTTAAATACTCTCATGGGCGAATCTCTGATATACCCCTTGTTTGTTCTGAAGACATTTAAGAGGAAATGGAGGATTACCTTCAAGGAAGCATTCGATAAGGTTGTTGCTATAGGTGAGTCTTTATACTAGTCTAGTTTTGATACGGTTTTCAACTTGCAGTTTCCCTTTCGTGGGAGATATACATTTTTCTTAAAATTCCAAGCAATGTATACATCAATAAACTGCTCTTCATTAAATTATTCTCCCAGCTTCTGACTGGCGGCTCCGTTGGTAGGGCTAATGTTTTCTTTTCCCATTTGTTCTTTTTCGTCGCCTTGCTTTTCGTCAGATTCTAAATGGAAAGCGCTCCCCTCTTTACTCGCCCTGCAAGTCCAGCTTTATTTCCTCCATCTATTTTGGTGGATACGTTTTACTAGCTTGTATCTTTTGTAAACTCCAACTTTTGTCGTCTGGATGGGGGCAGTTTTGTTTTGTTGTTTTTTTGTTTGTTGTTGTTTTTGTTGTGTTTTTCTTTGGGGGGGGGGGGGGGGGAGTCAATCACTCAAACACTTCGAGATTTATGCGACATTGTCTATTGTGCAATATTTTAACTGAACTTTCTATTACTGGTGTTGTGTTGCAATCATTTTGACAGTCGGTATGTTTACGTTGTGAACAAATGGCTTAATTTACCTGAACTACGATTACTTGGTAAAGAGAAATATTGTGTGACTGGAATGATATCACTCAACGATGGAGTTGCTTTGACTCTGACAAAAACACGCAAATGTATGGAATCGAATAACATTATGACATTGAATAATACAAATACCAATGGATTTTTTAATCGTGGAGAAAAAAAACAAACTCCCCTGCTGGTGGGGGGACCCGTAGTTTTACTATGGGGGAGCAAAGAATACACCTGCCGTGATACTGCGTGACGTAAGAGGCGACTAAAAGTGCATAGGTCTGGCCGCCCGAAAAGTGCCAGTTTGCGGAGGGCCAACTACCCAACCAAGTAAAAAACAGTAAGTTACAGAAACACGGACAAACACAGCTTTTTATTTTTCGATCTTGGGAGACGGAGGAGCTTCTGCATCAGCAGGAACAATGAAGGACAGCGGATGCACAGAAGTCACTTACAGGATGGGAACCACACGGGGAAAGGATCATCATGGCTTCATTCACTACAAGGAGTCACAGAAAGCGATGTACAGAAAAGTGGGAAGACATGGAATAACATCAGGAGGCTAGCCCGGGATAGAGAAAAGTGGAGGGTGTTTGTCCGTGGCCTGTACCCTGGTGCAGGGAGAGAAAGGCAATGATAATGATGATGTAAAAACAATACCAAAAAAAAGAGGGATCGCTGTTCCTTTATTATTTGTTACCGCGTTTGTGTTTTTTTTAATTCCATCAATCGGTTTCTGTAGTTTAAGGGTTAGGGTTTTTGCCTTGACATACATCAGCTTACATTCGATTCCCTCTTGGAGACTTTTGGGATTTTTGTTCTTTGTTGTTTAGTTGATATTTATTTTATATATTTTCAAAAATTTTAATCGAGTATTTCCATCTGCTGCAATGTAAGTCCCACTCTGCCAGGCGTGGCTCTGACAGGCAAGGTCTGAGCACCACGACACTTATATTTCTATATTTTTATATTATGTCGAGGGGCGGGGTAGGGCCAGGTGAAACATATTCATCAGCACGAATACGCCTACCTGAAGGCGGACCCCACCTACACATATACCGTAGGCGTTAAGCGTGAGTACCTATGCTGCTTGACAAAATCCTCGCCCAAGAGGTATGGACAAAAAAAGAGCAAGACAAAAGACCAAGTTTGAAGGGGTTTGGGGCAAGGGGGAGGGTCGGTGTGCTGTCCTTGGGGAGGGGGAAGGGGGGGGGGCATTTTCCCTTTCTAATTAACAGAAACGATAGAATAATATTATTATTGTACAAAAGGCACCTCTCAACCAGGAACCTACGATTCCTGTATAGGAAGCAGTGGACTATTTATGCAAGGACTGACTTGGTGAGCTTTGTTCCGGGGGGGGGGGCTTGCTTTTACCGTTCAAAGTAAGTCAAATTTTAAAGCAAAATATGGCATCAAAGGACACATGTTAGATAATGTCAGAGTTCTATATACCAACAGCAGAAGCTCAGTAAGAACAAAGGACGGCAATACAGACTGGTTTAAACTAAAATCTGGAGTATGACAGGGATGCATTCCTTCTCCCCTCCTGTTTATAATATATATGGACACAATAACGCAAGACACAAACCAAAGCCCAGAAAGCCTAAATGAATTTCTGTTTACAGACGACCAATGTCTTATTCATCATGACCAAGAAAGCCTCCAAAATCACACAACCGAACTCAAAAACACCTGAGAGAAATTCAACATGAAAATAAGCACATCAAAATCAGAAGTTATGAAAGTGAGCCGAAACCATAGTCCCCTGAACATCCATGTCAATAGTAAACAACTGAAACAAGTGAAGGAGTTTAAATATCGTGGCAGCACTTTTTCTGAAAACGGGTCCATAGACTGAGAAATAGAAATGCGAACTCAAAAAGCCAAAGGTGTCACCTACCAGCTCCTGTTTCATCCAAACATCTCCATGGACACAAAGAGACAGCTTATCACCTTAATATTCATGCCAACATTATGTTATCAGTGCCAGACCTGGACCTTAAGTAAAACCCATGAAAGCAAAATCACTGTAAGCGAAATGAAATGTCTCCGCATAACCCTTAACATCACACGACGAGACAGGCAGAGAAATGAGTAAGTAAGAGCAGCTATCGGCACTGAGTCCTGCCTGCGTAACATAGAAGACAGACAGAGGATAAAATGGTTTGGCCACCTGTTACGCATGTCACCTGACCAGCCAGCCTCGAGAACCTACAACAACAAGCACTCAGGCTATAAAGGAAGGGGAAGGCCACGCAAAAGGTGGATCGAGGGTGTCAAGGAAACCCTAAGAAAACATAACATCACAACTGAAAGAGCTGCGGAGCTGGCCTACCATAGTAAACTGCATCTCCCCTCGACGCTTAACGGCAACAGAGGATGAAAAAGTAAAAGTAGTAAGTAATTTAAAAAAACAAAATAGTATTCTTTTGAAAAAATCAGAACGGATTTCAGTATGACTGGGGCTTGTCGAAAAGGTGTCAGTTATTCATTCTAATCTCTCTGCAGGATACATTCGTACTGATCTGACTGAGAACAACATTGTGTAGGCACATCGTTTAACTTGACTTAATCCAGGTTAATTTAGGTGACCACAGCTGTCTGACTAATTTGACTTATTTCAGCTGAGAAAGAAATTGACAAGAAACCGGGCGATCTCAATGCGCAGTCTCTCGTCTCTCACATCATGTCACATGGGAATTTGACGTCATCGGAGATGTATACAAGCGTTACAGAGATAATGTTGGCCTCAGGAGACACGGTTAGTATAATTGTATAGACTTTTTCTGACCTGTAAAGTGCGACTTTACACATGGGGTGGGCAGCATGGTGTTTTGTCTTATGTCATAAGTCAATAAAATTTCTGCTTCCTATATTTTTCCTAAACTGAAAAGTAACTCCAGTTCATGACTTTTCTAGACGTCTTTTTGTTTCTATACCATCCAATAGTCTATCAAATTCATCGTTTTATGATTTAATCTACTTGTAATCACACACAAATATAATTGAATAAGGCATTAACAAATAAAGAGGGGTAAAATATCTTTTGCATGCTTACATTCCTTGCTGGTTTTAAAAATCATCCTCTATCCTTTTCTCCCGACGGTTTTTGGTGTCAAATTGTGAATCCTTGATCTTTTGAGAATATCGTTCAAAAGGGTTGTTTTTCATTTGTTATTCCTAGTTTGATGTCGTCTGCATATTACATAATATACTGATGTGATTGACCCTGTGTATCAGAATTGAAAATACACATTCTACTGTCACTTCTCTTCAAACGTTTAAAGTGACGTGTTGTCTTCTTTTTATTTCAAATATCACATCAGACCTCTACTTGGGCCCACCACACTCTATGGGAATTATGTCATCGCCCGCTAATTCAGGACAAGGTGTACCAAGAAATTAAAACTGTTGTAGGAGAAGTTGAAGAAGTTTCACACTCAACTCTCGGCCGTCTCAAATACACGACCGGATTCTTGAAAGAGATCCTAAGGTAAGCCGTTTACTGTGAAGACATAATGCATCACTCTCCTCGCATGTTATTGTTAAAGCACAACTCTGTACACAAATAAAATATAAAGTTATCAGTGGTAGCATTTATTAATAACCCAATCTTCCCATGGATGTCTTGACACCTGCGCCAAATTCTACTAAATGTTCTTTGAAACAATATGTTTGTCCGTTTCGATTCTTTTGCAGTTTTTTTTTTCTTGTTTACAATCCCTTGTCAATTTGTACTTCAACTATGACTTCAACCCTTTCACTACTACGGCTTCATGGCATGATAGTATAAGAGCGTATAGGGTCCAACTTAACAAATGGAATACAAAAACACTACGAGTAAGCGAGGCTGACGATCGGAGTGATAATGTTAATGTCATTCCTCGTCGTCTTCTTTATGTAGGTTACATCCACCCGTCTTCATGACAGGGCGTGAGCTAAAGAATGGAGGCGTCATCTGTGGCTACCAGGTTCCCCCCGGGGTAAGTGTAAACATGTTTCTACATAGTGGTTGATTCATTGCGAATGTGTTACGGCTCGATCGACACAATTTAGATCATTTAGGAAGTGGGGTGCTTTGACATTGTCTGTCAGGGCCAACCCAGGCTATATGGGTACAGCATATCAGAAAACAGACGGAAATACTCGGAAAAATAGGTTTTCTACATGGTGATTGAACTCTCTTCCTTTGCTTGAATGACACCTAAGCTTCACCCAGCACTGAATAATTATGCTGCGGATTTTGATAGCCGCTGTCAAGCCATCAACGGTCACGACG